AATAATAATAGAATTTTAGACTCGTTGAAGACATAATATTTATTATAAAAGTTATTATAATTGACCTTTCTATTATAAAATAACTAATATGATATATATATTTTTTTGTAATTCACTTCCTTAAATTACAACGTTTTACTAAATAAGTTGTGAAAACTCCTATGATCACATAATTTTTGTCGTAATTACAAGAAGAATTTAGCCAAATTTATAAAATACTAATCTTAGTTTTATCTCAACATAAACTTTTAGGAGACCTAAACTTTAATCCACACTAGTTAATTACATATATCTAGACCCTAACAAATATATCACTAAAAATTAATTATTAGTTTTACTTATACACCACATTTTGATTATGAATTAACTCATTTTTATTAAAACAAAATACTAATAACTTGATTTTAATCTATAAAGAATTATCAAATAATTCTAACATTAGAGCCTTAGACAAAATTAATTGCATAATTTTAATTTTAAAAAAAGTTTTTAAAATGACTCTCAAATTAATGACTAATTTTATAATATGACCACCTTTTAGAAAACACATAATTTATGATGCTATATCTAAAAATGATTCTATCCAATAAAAAAATAATACCAAATTATGATAGTCTTATATCTTTTATTAATGTAAGACTTTCCATAATTATAAAAATTACTAATTTCATACAAGAAAATTACATATCAAAGTAATCTAAAAGTTAAACAATTATTTTCTTTGTTAGTCCTTATAACATCTCACATATGTCTTAAAATAAAATAAAAAAATTACATAGTATTAGCAAAAAAAAATAAAAAAATTACATAGTCTTTTAAAAATTCATCATACCTTATTTTCAAATAGTATTAACCACTAACATAGTCGCTCCAACGATATTGAGCTCAAAATTTGATCATGGTACCTCAGTCCTAAATGATAAAACTAACAATACATTAGAATATATAATAAGGGAATATATAATTTCAATTAATATAAATTATTATAATAAGGTCAACATAATTTCATATTCATTCTTAGGTATAATTTTTAAATTAAGATGTTAGAACTTTATGAGTTATTCAATAAACATATAATAGGTTCAAAAACTTATCTATAGACAAACATATCTCTTAGACCAATCTTTCCATAAATTTTAAAATGAGCTACTCAATAAATACATTCTATATTAAAATAATTCATCCCTTTTAGACAAATAGATCTCTTAAATCAACGTACTTTCAACAGTCACATTAATAAATCAACTCATAATTAAATTTATTATTTAAAATAACATAATCATGTTTAAACTTAATTTTAATAATTTATAATTAACAATTAACAAAATAGATGATTTCTAAATTATATAATGTAGACTTTGACACCAAATGTAAATAAAAAATTATTTAAATGAGATTATATGAAATAAAAATAATAAAAATAGAGTTTTAGACTTATTTATTAAAGACATAGTATTTATTATAAAAGTCGTTGTAATTAATCTCTATATCTTATGTCAACTAATATGCTAGAGTTTCTTTTATAATTTAATCTCTTAAATCACAAATTTTAATTAGGCAAGTTGTAGAATTGATTACATGATTCCTAGTGTGATTATAGAAAAAATTTAACTAAATATATATAAAGTAATAATTTTAGCTCCCTCCTAATCTTTTGAGGTAAATTTTACATTTAAATCTATACTAATCAATTATAAAAATTCAAGTCCAAACAAATAGATATACTGGAAATTAATTATTGAGTTACTTATTCACCTCACTATCATGAATTAACCTATTTTTATGAAAAACAAAAAAAAATCATATAATTCTTACATTCAATATTCCTTAACTGTACCTTAACTGTCCTTTTCAACGTTATTTTAATATGATTTTCATTAAAAGAAATTACTTGCAGATATTTTATCCTTCCATTTTGAATATTGATTAATAAATAAAAAATCCTAATAAAAATAGAAACTTAAAAACATACTTTAGTAGCCTCTCTCCCTTAAACTTACCATAATATTATAAACATAACCCTACTCACACACCCGTTTTTGTCCCTAATTCTAATTGATCTAAACCTAGACACATTGGGGAGCATTCTATGGTTCAATTCCAATGTCAAGGCGTTTCACATACTGACTTGACGAGACAAGAGACTTAGGACTCATGAACGTAGCTAGGGACACTTATCCTTTGATTTTGGAAAACTCACTGTTACTACCATAGAGACTTGTCACTAGGAGTTGCTGAATACATAGCATAATTCTCTCTGTACACACCATTGCCATAATGCAGTCATTGTGTGGCCCACACCACCACGCATCTTGAGGCTTCAGAGAAAGAATAGACCATTCCCCTCTCAATATGTGGACTCCATCAACTAGACCTACACATATATATGTTTACTATAGAACTAGGTTGCTTATATATATATAGAGATATTTTTACTATTACGTTTGGCTAAAGAGGTTTCTTATGTAACCAAAAACATTACTAACCAATAACCATCCTACGATTTTAGAGACAAGATCTATCGCATTAAATTCAAGATGCATGCCATGGCCATGAAGGCCATCAATATTCAATCTGAAAGCTAGATAGGTCACATTTTTATATTTCAATACTTAGGATTGTTCATGACTTTGCACCAAAAACGTCTATCGTGCATGTTGGAAATTTTGGTTATTACTTTTAGAAATTACAAAATTTAGGGGAAAAGAAAATAAAATACAAGATTTTAAAGATCGTACCAACCTATGTGAACAGCGAAAATAAAGTGTATTGATTTGAAAATTATTGCTTAACTTACTCGATGCGTGTTCGCGCATATTAATTTTAATTTTTTATTATCTTTTAAATGATAACTTTGTATAAATTAATATGACATTAATATATATGACTTAGAGGAATTCTGAAAGAAAAAAGTCTTAAATAATTTAAGAATAATAAAAGTTTTTTAATCATTTAATAAGTACGTACCTTATTATGAAATAAATTAAAATTATAAAAATGTTAAAGTGAATGATGCACTTTGGACCAAATACACATTAATAGCTTTTAATATTCCTCCAGACTCTGGAGAAGTCATGCTAGATTGCTAGCTAATCTCTGTTACAATGTATTTTTAGATGAGTTGAAAGACGTTAGACATTATGTATTTTGAGAAAGGCATAAAGCATACTTAAATATATTTGTAATTCACATAATTCGTTTTATTCTATGGTTTTTAATATTTTAAATTAAATATTAATTTAATAGTTGGTCATAAGCAACTAACAATAGTGACATTTTATAAATACAAAATTATTATACTTTTATAAATTTAATATAATAAATATATTTTTCAATAAAAAATATACTTTTATATATTTACACTCAATTCTAAGAATTAAAACTAATCAAACTTTTTAAAGTATTAGTATGGTATATTCATTAAGAAGAAAATCAATGTTTATCATTAAATAATATCGCAAACTTGCAAAACCAATTAAACTCACTTTTATGTCATTGTTTTAACTTTTTATGACATGATAATAATAATAATATTTTAAATCTTTAAAATGACACTTTAATATAAGCTTTTCTAAAGGATTAATCAAATTTTACTTTTTGGTTATTAAAATTCATTTGAAACTATACAATAATGATGTTTTTTATTATTATTATTTTTGAAAAAGTTATAAGAAAACACGGTTAAAATTTTAAAAAAAAAAAAAAAACTATAGTATTACCTTTCTAATTTTGCTTTTCCCTTGAGAAAGAAGGAAGAGGCATAGGAGAGTGATTGGAGAAGGCAGTGATGAAAGTGGGCCAGAACAAGTGAAATAGGTCCATGACTCTATAATTCCATTTTGCCACCCCCATTCCCGAAGCTCACATAAAGTCAATTATCATTTTACACTTTTTCCAGGGTAGTTAATTACCACCTAAAACTAGCCTTCATTTTCGCTTCTGTTGCTTCCAACTTCATTTCATTATTACTTCCTTAAAGAAACTGCGAAAACATTTTTAATATAATAATAACAACAAAAGTGAAACTGTTATTTCATCATTCTACAAACAACCCTACTCAGCATTGCCAAGATAAATATCTCAGCCATTCAACCAACAATTAATATTGGATAAAGCTGTTCCAAACCAAAATGAAAATTTGATAAAGCTAAATTGCGTAAGAAAGAAAGAAAGAAAGAAAGAAAAAAGTAGATTGCAACGTGGTCGTGACCAAAACTGCGCTAGCAGAGATTATTGCTTCAAACTTTCAGATTACAAAGATAAGGAACAATTTCTTGATTGTAAGCTAAATATAAATTGTAGACATAGTTTAGATTCGGAACTTAATTTATGGATTTGGTTCTTTTAAAACGGGTGATTCACTTATAAAGGTTTATAATTATTGATTTTTTTAAAGTTATTACTCTCAACTCTTAAAATAAAGTTTAAACAATTAAGAATAATAAAATTTATTAAAAAGAAGTCTTATAACTTTAGTATTCTAAATGAACTCTTTTTAAATAAAAATTTATTACTTTTAATCTTTGAAAATCAATCGTACGAGTTAAATTTAATAAAATTTATGAAAAAGTTAATGACCAAGATTTAAATAATCATACAACATGATATAAATACTATTTTTTAATTAATAAATAAATTAACTTCCAAAATTGTGATTTAACCGTAGGGAGATCCCGAAATGGTGGCTCCCCAAATTTTTCGAAGAAATAGGAAAAAATGAGATGCTAGCAATCGTAGGAGATTCCGTTACGTCACGATGGAACCGAAGATGTAAAAGAGAAACCGATACGCTGGGTTGGAGGTGAGACAAACAATTACAGAGGGGATGAGGGTATATCCGTCATGTAAGTAATTAGTAATAACAAGCTTTTCTTGCATATTAATAATTAATTATTCACTAACATCAACGACACACCCTAGCCAACACCCTCTTTTAATTATTCTTTTTTAAATTTAGTTTTCAATTTATAATAAATATTAATTTTGTAAACATGCCCTCTCTGCTCTCTCTTTCTATCCGCTTACTTCTGTGCTTTGTATGATTCGCACTCATTTTCCCCCAAACAGCACAAAAAGAGAAAACAAAAGGGAAAAGGGAGAGAGAGAGAGACAGACAGACAGAGAAAAGATATCTAGAGAGAGAAACTTCGCCGCCGGCGATACTCCCACACAAACGGCACTGAACTAATGCACAGTTGAGTGGCCCACTGAGCAGCACGCACACCGCCAATCCTTGCCGGAAAATGCGCTGATTCCGGAACCTCCTCGGAAAACCGCACACTCGCATAACCGCAAAGCAGAAAAGAAAATGCGCGCAGCACTTGCGTGCGAAGTCCCCGGTGACTACGTCACCGGAGCGAAGAAGAACAAGCCGGAGCCGGAAAAGGAAGACAGAGAAAAGCCTTCTCCGTCGCCGCCGGCGGTGGTCGCCGGCCGTAGCAGGTCTCAAGGAGGAACGCGAAGAGTGACACCAGCGACACTTCCGGTGGCACAGGAAAACGGATCCGCGGTGGAGAGGGTTCTTCCGAACGGCGATTTCTACGTCGGAAGCTTTTCCTGCAACGTCCCTCACGGATCGGGAAAATACTTGTGGACGGACGGGTGCATGTACGAGGGAGAATGGAAACGCGGAAAGGCTTCCGGTAAAGGCAAGTTTTCGTGGCCTTCGGGAGCGACCTACGAAGGCGAGTTCAAATCGGGTCGAATGGAAGGGTTCGGAACTTTCGTTGGATCCGACGGGGACACCTATCGCGGGTCGTGGAGCTCCGACAGAAAACACGGGTTCGGGCTAAAGCGTTACGCGAACGGTGACTTATACGAAGGGTGGTGGAAGCGTAACGTGCAAGACGGTCACGGCCGTTACGTTTGGAAGAACGGGAACGAGTACCTCGGGGAGTGGAAGAACGGCGTCATTAACGGGAAGGGGGAGCTCGTGTGGGCTAACGGAAACCGTTATGAGGGGATGTGGGAGAACGGAGTGCCCAAGGGTCACGGCGTTATGAAAATACAGCACCGTTTACTTTGGGGTGAGAATTTTGGATTAATGAGGAAACGGTCATCGGTGGAGGGGAGAGGGAGCGTAAACGACAAGAGTTTTCCAAGGATTTGCATTTGGGAATCGGAGGGTGAAGCCGGCGACATCACGTGCGATATTGTCGATAATGTGGAGGCATCGATGTTTTATAGCGATGGAACGTCGTCGGATCCTGATGAGTTTCGGAGGAACCCTTGTTGTTTCTCTGCTGAAGTGAAGCGGCCGGGTCAAACCATATCCAAGGGGCATAAGAATTATGATTTGATGCTTAATTTGCAATTGGGGATAAGGTGAAGTATTGGGAATAGGGTTTTCTTTTTCTGTTACTGTGAGTTAGTTGTTTGTGTTTACCTCTTGTTTTGTGTGTGTAGGTACTCTGTTGGGAAGGAAGGTTCCACGTTGCGGGAGCTTAAGCAAAGTGATTTTGACCCGAAGGAGAAGTTCTGGACTAGGTTTCCACCTGAAGGATCTAAGATTACGCCGCCGCATCAATCTGCAGAATTTCGATGGAAGGATTACTGCCCTGTGGTTTTTAGGTGTGGCTTTGTTTTGGGTGTTGTGGGTAGTTTTGAGTGCTGCGGTGTGTTGACTGTTTTGCTTTGAATTTGCAGACATTTGAGGAAGCTGTTTCAGGTGGATCCTGCTGATTACATGTTGGCTATATGTGGGGATGATGCCCTTCGGGAGCTTTCGTCTCCTGGGAAAAGTGGCAGTATCTTTTACTTGACCCAAGATGATAGGTTCATGATCAAGACAGTGAAGAAATCTGAAGTCAAGGTTAGATACATGTGTCACAGGCTTGTAAAGCTGTGTCTTGTTAAATTTCCATAATAACTTGCTGAGAATAGAACACTCTCGACAACAGGCTGTAAAGTTTTTAGTAAAACAGTTAACCTGGGATTTGGAAAGGGGATGCTTGTTTTTTAGTCTGGCCATTCATGTTATATGACTACAACATAGATTCTTGTCTTCCATATTGCTACTAGGAATCTTTGGCTAAGTGCATATCTAGATTGACACACAATTCTGGTGTCTCACTTTTAGGTGCTTATTCGGATGCTTCGAAGTTATTACCAACATGTGTCTCGATATGAAAATTCACTTGTGACAAAATTCTATGGGGTGCACTGTGTCAAGCCAATTGGAGGCCAGAAGGTATGGATTGGTAGATGATATATTTTAGCTGTTTGGAGGGGTTGTTCCATTCTTCTCAGGCTTTGACCTCGATTTTTATTGAAAAATCAGATCCGGTTCATTGTGATGGGCAATCTTTTCTGCTCGGAATATCCAATTCATAGACGATTTGATTTGAAAGGATCTTCACATGGCCGTACAACAGATAAACCTGAGGAGGACATTGATGAAACTACCACCCTCAAGGACCTTGATCTCAATTTTGTGTTTCGTGTACAAAGAAATTGGTTCCAGGAACTCTTCAAGTAAGTTATGGTGCTAGTTGTTTGTCTCATGCATTCTTTTAGTGTCTTCTACTTATTAGCAGTATGCATACATATATGTTGATATACCTCTCATATTGTGTTCAGACAAATTGAGCGGGACTGCGAGTTCTTGGAAGCTGAGAAAATTATGGATTACAGTCTTTTGGTTGGCATTCATTTTCGTGATGATAATACGTGTGACAAAATGGGATTGTCACCATTTCTTTTACGCACCGGTATTGATCCATCATCCAATTTGACGCATATAGATATCGTTTATGACTCAACCATTTTAAATTTCATTTTGCTTTCCCCTCCCCTCAGGCAATCGAGATTCCTATCAGAATGAGAAGTTCATGCGCGGTTATCGCTTTCTGGAAGCAGAGCTACAAGATAGAGATCGAGTTAAATCTGGGAGGTATGTTGTGATATGTTTTAGTTCCTCATAATTAGTGATTGCAATGTTATCACCTGTATCCATAGTTAAATTGGATAGGCATATCCCCATAATCAGTTGGAATATTAACCACAATGAAGTGAGAATCATTTGTTGGGAGATATATTGGTGCTTCAGCTAAATTGGTCCTAGTGCTATCAGAGTGAAAATAATGGATATGTATTGTGTCATCTCTTTAAAGCATATCAAATGATGATGTTGTTGACCTGTAAACTTGTGCTGTCTTTAATTTCTGATTCTTTGATGGCATTAAAAATGTTTAATGATTTATTCATTTTAATTCATATCTTTCATGATAATAATTGAAAAGTAGTTTGCATTATTTTGGCGAGTGGGGGTAGTATTGCAGGAAATAGTTGTTTGTGTGGGGCTCATGTAGGTTGTGGTCCTAATTTATGAAATCAAATTTGGATTTCTAATTTATTTTGGGCCTGACAATATATTCATTGGGTTAATTATGATTGTATCATATTTTCTCTAGATTCATGATTCTTCCATATTTATCCTCACCAGCTTATTCGTGTTACTGTATGGCTTGAAGATTGTGATTGTTTTACTATTTTGTTACACGCCTAAACCATTCAAGGTTGTTGTCATTCTATGTGAATGCATATTTGTAAATTTTATGTATTAAGTAGGATTCTTGTTTCAGGAAATCGTTAATTAGGCTAGGAGCCAATATGCCTGCAAGAGCAGAGCGAATGGCACGGAGGAGTGATTTTGATCAATACACCGCTGTTGGAATCAGCCATTTGACCCCTTATCGCAGTGGGGAGACTTATGATGTCATTCTATATTTTGGGATTATTGACATTTTACAAGATTATGATATCAGCAAGAAGCTTGAGCATGCTTACAAGTCTTTGCAAGTTGACCCTACTTCAATTTCTGCTGTTGATCCAAAGCTCTACTCGAAAAGATTTCGTGATTTTGTGGGGAGAATATTCATTGAAGAGAGGTAGCACACGAGGTACAAAATTAGGATGAAATATTTCTTCCTGAAAGTTAAGATGATGCTTAATTGGTCACAACATCCAGGAAATATCTATGAGAATTTGAAACCCTCGGCATCGGGGTCTTGGAGTTGACTGGTTAAAATGCCGCCTTATGGTTAAGTGGCTGATAGAAGCTATAGCTGGAATTGGGGGTTGTTTTATGGCTTAGTTTTAAAGATACAGCCATGATGATGGTATGCTGAAGGACGGGAAAATTTGTACATGGAAGATGTGGATGAAGATCGGAAATAATTTTTTTTTCCTTTTCTTTCTTTTTTAGGAAATTGGGTGGGGCTTGTTGAATTTTTTTGTGGTTACTAAATATGAATATGGTGAGCAAGATAGGTAGAGGGAACAAAGTGGAATGTTTCCCTGAGATTAGATTCAAAATGCGTGGATAGTAGGAAATAAAGAAAATGTACAGTTTTTGATACAAAGGATGGATAGTTGAAGAAATTATTTTTTCCAACTATGATTATTCTTGAATTGTTGAGTCATTTTGATGACCATGTTGTGAGATGGTGTCGAAGTCTTCTCTTCCACACAATAATAAATTCTCTTATCTGTTTAACGAAACATAAATAAGTGGGGCTTCATTGCGGGGTTGAATAAAATAAAAAACTGGGGTGGGTTTGCTTTTGCAGTGAAAGCGAGGCGTTGGGCTTCAAAGAGTTTTTTGAGGGCATCAAAAGCAGAGAAAGGAAGAGAGAGATGCGCTGGCGTTTCTCGTTTTACCTCTCATTTTGTTCACTTTCTCCTGCTTTTCACTGTTTATAGTTTTGCCTCTCATTTTAGTTTTCTTATTTTATTTTAATTAAGTATAATTTGACCCAGTTTTTTTAATTTTTGGGTTTGCGAGAAAGAAACGAAACGTACTCTATATCAGTAATCACGTCACGTGGAACCTGGTCTGATTGCTCCATTAAATCTATCTCGGTAATAAGTAAATTGGTTGCTATGTCATGTGCTTGAAGCCATCTCTATTCACTATCCTTCTTTATCCTCTGTAAAATTACCACTGAGCAGTAACAAGAAGCAGTGCAGTTGCTCTGTTGTGTTTTGACCTTGTTCTCTTTTGAGGACATCGTAGTGTAATGTCTGCTTGCTCAAAAGTAACGTCATGTGAGTGGCTGGGCCCATACCCCATTTTTTTCCTTTATAGGAAGCTAATCAGCCATTATGGATTTCAAGCGTGTCTTCCACGTCCTCTCATTCCACTTACAATTCAGACAAACCTTCCTTCCTTTCTTCTTCTATAATCTATGTTTCCTTAATGCCTTTTAAATCATATTAAGAGTGAGGCTCCATATCATAATCTCTATGCCACTTAATTAAGTTTTGAATGATAAACTGTTTCTATTAGATTGTGAAAAGATTAATTTAAAAAAGTGTTACCGTGTCACAAAGGGTTTTTCTTCTGTACCGATGAAAAAAAATGTTGTGTGCATGTTTGTAAATAACTAGTATTCTTATTTATCTAACACAACTTGCTTTCTTTGTGGCCCTTAACTGCAATCTCTAAGTCCCATATGCAATTTTTGTAATTACCATAAACTAATTGTTTGTGAAATATAATTTTGAAGAAAATTTGAAAATTACAGGTCTCACTCGTGAGATAAATTTAAAGCCCCCAGGTAGAGAGAAGGGAACTTGGATCGCATATTCCCATTAAAATACTGATAAAAACAAACAGGAATTAGGCAAGAACATTAATTAGTCGTACAACAACAAATCCGGAATTGGTTTCTCAACGCGTCTCCATATGTTTTTTGAATTGCCTTTCAATGTACTTTTGCATCAACCCCACTTTTTCCACGTGCATTTCAACCCATACAGCAAATGCATTCCAACACTCGTAAAGCAAACGCTTTACTACTAAAACAATTGTTTTTCTCTATCAATAGTCACTCGCAACAAGTTACAACTATCCTTGTTCAACTAGTAAATATCCCCTTTGATCGTAAGTATCTATCGTTTTAATTTCTAATTTTGTAAAAATTGTACTTTAGTCTTTAATTTTTTAAGAATTATTCATTTTAATCTTTTTCTATTTTTTTATTATCATTTTGTAAAGTAAAAAATTAAAAGTAAAATTTTAAAAGTAAACAATTAGAATAATTAATGTTTATAATTTGAAAAATTAAAATAGATATTTAAAATTTCTTAATTAATCTGCACTTGTCATATCCTTAAAAAGAGCTCATTCATCTCGATTTTTGCACAGTAAATCCATTTCTTCAATCTCTAATGATGGCTGCCTTAAGCTTTTTCAGTTAACTCCTTTCCAAGTCCCCTACGACATTATAAATATTAGGCTTTCAGCTTTCATTAATTCAATGACATTTATATATGCAAATCTAAACTATTTAATTCTGGGAACTAGCAATTGTGTTCAGGTTAAATCTCATTCTGCTTTTCATAAGGCTACAATATATTATACTTAATTTAGCATCATATAAACATAATAATATTTAAACGTGGCGACAACAGTCTAAGTTAAAAATAAGATATGTTATGATTCCGTACATTTTGAACTTTAGATTGAGTCAAACACATGTACTGAGCCAAATCCAATGGTAAGTGTGCGTTGGAGCCTGCAACACAACCCAAGTTGCAAAATAATCTATCCATTAATGCATATATAATATTAACATAAGCAAATCCCAAACAGATCTCTACTCAATTGGCTCATGATGCTGGATCTGTCACTGTCTATTTGGAACCAAGGAAGAAAAAGTAGAAAAACAGCAAATGGGATTTCCTGTACATCCAAACAAGGTATAAAAACGATTAACGTTGGCCCACAGGTATCGCTGTCAAATTTTTAACTTCAGGAAAAAATGGAGAATAAAAGATAAACTAATAAATAGAATTTTGTATTATTTAAGGTCACCAGAGAGACAAAATTAAAAAAAAAAAAGATTATTTTTGTTTTATTTTTTAAAAAATTATTTTTAAAATTAAAATACAATACAATTATTTTGATTTTAATTTTAAAAATAAAAAATTGATTTTATAAAGAAAACAAATATATTCTAAGAGTATGTTTGATTACTATTTTAAAAGTAAAACATAATATAAATTTATATTGAATTTTATTTTTAAAAACAGAAAACTAGTTTTAAAAAAGAAAACAAATACAAATTTCTTCTTTCTTTATTTCGATTTTGTTTTTTAACATATTCTGTCTTTATTTAGTTAGATAAAAAAATTAGAAGAAAAAATAGTATTAATTTAAAATATAAGATTACTCCTAAAATTAAAAATCCAATTTCGAAAGCATAAAATACAAAGAGGTGTAATTTTATCTAGAATAACTGAATCACGTTCCTCTCTTATCGTCTTATTTTCTTTCCAATTCAAAGAGAATAAACTTCGAATTAGACCCAGCTATGTTCTTTGTATCAAAAGGAGAGGTCACGAAAGTTTCTCTTCTTAAAATCTTTCTAGTCCAATTCTTTTAAACCGATCGAAGGCCTATGAGATTTTAATTTTGTGTGAGTTCACATAGGTGATTATTTAGTAATTTTCTGAATATATTTCTTTATTTTTTTAATGAATCGAAGAAAAACAAAAGTTCTTAGTTTATAAAATTTAGAGAATAATGTGTGTAATGTGGGGGAAGGAGAATCAGTTTACATTTACCTAAATAATAATTTTATATTATTTAATAATTTAATATAAAATTTATTTTATCAATTTTAGCATTAAATTTTTGTTATTTTTTTCAAATCTTATAAACTTTTAAGGTTATATAATTATTTTCATATAATCTTTTTATTAAAAAGTCGTTAATTATTTTTTCATTATCTCCTTATTTTATATTTGACTTAGCTTATATAAACTATCATAAAATTTATATAAATAATGACAACATGACATTTACACAATCACCCAGCGTGTGGAGACAAAGGTTGTTCCAGTTGTGTCATGCAGTATACATAAAAAAAAAACATGATATTTACACGTTTATTTTTAAACCTCAATGTTATAACATAAAATTTTACATAAAAATATAAAGAAAATAATGTTATTAATGACATTATTTTTAATCTAATAGTATGGTTTGAGACAATTTTATTTGATAAAAATTGATTAAATAATATAAGAATAATTTAAATTTATATTAATATAAATTCATTCTATTTTATATATTTAAATACACACAATAAGATCTAAATGTCAATATTTATTTTTCTTCATGTGCCTCTTATATGTAGGTAGAGAATACATCTAGTGAGAATAATTTTTATTTTAGGATTATAAAAATTAAAATTTTAAATCATACAATCATATACAGATGCTATTGATTAAAAGTTTTATCTGTTATTAAGCTTTTCATTTAAATAAGATCTATCAGTCTATGTATATTATTTTTATTCTCACGACAACCTAGTATCTTTATTTGAATTATTTTTTATATTTATATATCAAATGAAAGAGTCTTGTATACATGAGAAAGATTAAAAAAAACTTTTGATCGATCATGGAACTCACTCTGTAGAGCTTTATCTGTATAAATTTTTATATGAAATAAGAGTAAAATATTGGTAATCAAATTTTTAAACTCTTCATCAAAACTTGAATAAAAAAAACAGAAGACCTGTAAGGCTGATACAACAAGAGTAGGCCTGACACATGAGACAGAGATACTGTTATTTGAGCTAGCTAGGTGTTAGATGTATTTGCAGTAAGCTCAACCCAAAAAAGAAACGTAGAACATTTTTAAATTAATGAAGAATAACACAAATACAGATATAAATCTGATAAATTATCAGTAGAAAAGAGAAAACAGTGAAGAAGCATGTCCAATATAGAGAGGAAGAACATAGCCAAATACTTGGATACTAACAACACTGTGTCTGTGTCCGTTATGGTCGAGGTTGTGTTCTTGTTTTGGTCAGGCTTATGGTATTGAAGGAACCTCTTAGGTATTAGCTAAATATAGTTGTACTGTGTTTGTTTGTATCTGCGTGTCGCGGAACATTTTGCACAGTACACACATAGCAAGGATAAACTAGGGAGTGTTTATTAGACTGCCCATTGCTTATTCACATCCTTTTTAATTATTTTTATTTTTTCTACAATATCCTTAATTAAAAAATCATGTTGAACAAGTAATTTATTTTCATTTCTATATATATCTTAATTTTTCAATAGTAATTTTATTAATTAATATTAAATATAAAAATCAGGTATAGTTACCTATCAAATGCTGGCTCTTAGATTCAACCACTTAAAAAAACCTTAGTTTCTCCTCGTTTGGACTCACTGTTGGAAGTCAAAGATGGGTTTTAAGTAACAATTTTCTTATTAAAAGTTGAAAAATATTCTTACAAGATAGAATAGGCAATGGTTTTGAAAGTTTGAATAGCTTTCTTGTTAGCTATAAAATTATATAAACAAGCAACATTTTTTTACTTTTGACAATAGAACAGTCGTAAAATTAGTCCTTGAACATTAAATAGGCAATGATTTTTTGAAGTGTGAGTATTTTTATTGTTAAAAGATCAAAAAGTAAAAATTATTGTTAAGAACCGACAACAATAGTTTTTATCTAATTTTTTTATTTAAACA